AATATGATGGTCGTCGGGGGGCGTTCGAAACCAGAGCGTAGTCGCAGTGGACTCTTTGCTCGAGATGAGGCCAGCAGCCCTACTGGAACGGCGTTTCTTCTCCTTGTCGTTGATGGTGATGACGAGAGTGGGCAGAACGGGGCCCTGCTTGCGATGGGCGAGCATCTGCACCTGACAGTCTATGACAGAGCTGACGGGGTATTGGTAGGAGGGCTCCCAGTCGTCCTGCAAGTTCAGGTGGCTTAGGTTTGGGCCAGAGAACTCCGTCATGTTGAGCCTTACCTTTGACTTGAAGATGGAGATGTAGTAGTCGTCGTTGCCAGGGGTCCGCGGCTGGGATCTGGTGCCGGTCCCGTTCGAGCGGGTTGAAGCGGCATTTTGAGGGAAAGTCGGACTGGTGACGGCTTCTCTGTAGACACTACGGCCTCCCACAACAACATATCGTGGCTAGAAAGAAGAAGTAAAATGTCAGAGACAAAATTCTTGGACGGCAATATTGCAGAGAGTTCGAACGCAATTCCATACCTTCCAAATGGCGCGCCCCAAGATCTGGCCCCGATCAGGGGGTATCAAGAGAACTCCCTCGCAAGTTTCCATGGCTGATGGAAGAGGTTAAGACAAGGGTTGTGACTAGTAAGGTGTATCCAGGCACCGTCGTTGCTCCAAAGAGGAACTCGAAAGGTCTCCAAGGTATCAGGTTGAGGATTAAAAAAGCATGCTTAATGTTGAAAGCAGGCGTCGGCGGTGGAGGACTGGATGCAGTCTAAACGAGGGTTGACGACGGTTGCGCTGTGCATGCAGCAGAAGAAAAGGTCGGATCGAGGACGGACAGGTTTACAGGGTCGAGATGGGGATTCGGTATCTCGGGTCTGCACAAAGGGACCAGTGAGTTGTTCCCATGGATGTCTCTGGATCCAGCGCCCCTGACCTGCGCGAAGAATAAACAACGGTTTGTGTTGAAGCAGAGGTTGGGCCGGCTTGGGAGAGGAAGAAGAAGAAATGAGGCGCGATGGCGGAGGAAAGTAGAGAAAGAGGTGTAAGGTGTGTGTGAAGTAGGTAAGCGGTGGTGGTAAACTGGTAGTAGTGTGGTCGTGGTGGATGGGGGCCGCCAATAATGGAGGAGGGGAGGGGGGTGAGGTGGTGAAGGGGACGGGAATCCGTTACTAAGGTAAGTGCAAGGCCAAGGCGAGCCGCGAAGGCGGTCTGCAGGAGATTGAGGGAGGGGGTTCAAGCTCCAGGGACGGAGCCAGCGAACAATGGCATGAAGAGAGGCAGACTGGATTGCTGGTGCGGAGGGTAGCACTTCTCTTGGTTTAAAATTGTAGTCATTAACGGCGAATGAAGCGGATGAGATGTTGGGGGTGTGGGTAAGGACGAGCTGGGAATGATTACGATTCCACGCTGAAGACGGGAGATACTGCGAGGGCCAGTCCACAACCCGCAGTGACATGGAGCCAGAGAGGAGACAAATGATGGGGACTGACTGAAGGAAGGGAGGCAGGACGGACGACAAGGTACCAGGAGTCTAGGAGAATAACCTACGGAGTACATACGCAGTGCGCAGTATGAGAATGGAGCAAAAGAAGCAGAAGCAGAAGCAGAAGAGTACCTTACTACGTAGAGGTAAGTGGAGGCTATACGGAGACCATGCCTTACCGCACCGTCCTGGAGCGGTCCGTACTATGCGGTAGGCGAAATTAAGCAAGACCAAGCAAGGTCCAAGACCCAAGGCGCGAAGACTTGACGGGAAGGACTGGACTGGAATCACTGGGACTGGATCGGGGGTGAAATGTTGGAATGGTGGATATGCGCATCTGCCTCGCACGTGTATCTCAAATGTAGCGTAGCAAACACTTTTTTACTTCCATGCCACTACCTCCTTCCCTACGCAGTAGTGACATAGATATCTCTCGCTCTCTTTTGTCACATTTCCACGTCTTCTTTGTTGGCTCTGACTGCAGAACCCCCTTCCAACGCAGAGGTACGGACGTAGATAGACGCATTCATAGTTACGTACATATGTCATATTTGTAGGCAAAGGTACGGAGTGGAATAGGAGAAAATACACTACCGAACCAGGTACTTTTATTGCGTGGAACGACATAAGGTCAAGGGATGGATACCTTGAGAAATACTCGCTGCTTGTCACTGCCCGCTCTTGAGGTACATTCGATACGTACCGGCGCTGGTCGCGGTTGGGATGTCAAGGACAGGGTGCTCTCCGCCGGGGGGGGGGCCAAGGAGGAAGGCAAGGAAGAAGAAAAAATGAAAATTAAATCGGGTCCCTGCCGTGCCTGCCCTGTGTGCCTGTGCCTGTGTCGACTGTTGAGTGCCCTGTGGTCTTGCCATCCAGTCTTGGAAGGGGAAAAGAATGGAAGGAACGAACGGTACCTGCGCAAAGCAACGACGGCAAGTGCAACCCGCAAGTACCGGGTTCAGGGCAGGACCATTGGAGCAGGGACGGGGATGTCCCTGACCCGTCCTTCTTCGAGACCGCTTTGCATCTTGGGGGCACTTCCACTGGCATCTCATCTCATCCAATGACACGCTGCTATCGGAACCAGATGGGTTCGAGAGTGGATACCACCTTACCACGGTACGTATCGCTGTCATTGACTCTACTGCGTAGGTACTCCGTATGGAGGAATCTTTTCTCTCTCCAGACAGACCTCACCTTATTCTGAGACCATCTTGGGACGCATCCTCTTCCAACTGACTTGCATCACAGTACCTATACAGTCACTGTGCATCATGTTCATGGCAGCACACACATGGAGAGACTCGGTCTTGGAGCCAGCGGCGTAGACGACTGCTTCTCTCTCTCCCTCTCCCAAAACCATGCCGTGCATTCAAGTCTCTAGGCGCACCATCTACATGAGATGCCTCCCTACCTCTCCTCGGAAGCCCCTGGACCAAAAGAGAAAGAGTCCGGAGTGGATGCAATTCGAAGAAGCGGAATCGCGGAAACACGGAGATAAGGCAATAGGAGAAGAAGAACAAGAACGAGAAGAACGAGAAGAAGAGAGCCACGCCACACACGGCAGAAGCGCTGTCAGATGGATGAGCCCTGGCTACCTCGACGGTCATGTTCCATCGCCACGGAGACTATTCGTACGCATACAGGGCATCAGCAGACTACTGGCTACGAATGCAATTCTACAGCCAGAGTCGCTCCACCACGAGACTGCGTCGTCCACATCGTGACGCTTCCGCTGTCAGGAACCGAGGGGCGCCGAGACGCGAGAGGACCTCTTACTGCGCAGTAGAGGGGCAGAAACACTCGAAGACTTCTATCGCTAAAAGAGAAACACATTAGCCCTCTTCTAGCCATGCTGGCCCTGGCTCACCCTCTCTCATCCCTGCTATGCCCCTGCAGCGGCCCCGGTCCAGCTGCGAGCTCTGGTCTTTTCCTCCGTCCACTACCCACCTCTCCCCTGCCTGTCATTCCCGTCAAACCCTCTCGACTTCTCCAGGGACACACACACTCACACACGCAACCAATGCCGCAATTCCAGGGAGAAACATTCCTGTGGCCTACGCAGTACTGACTACGAATACCTTACTCACTCACGGAGTACTGTATGGGATATAGACACCAAGAGCTTGACTGCTTTCAGATGACGCTGGCGCCGTTTCGACTCCATCGCCGTTTGCAGACATCCTCACTGGCTTTTATTCCATCCGCCCGAAGCCGTGTCTCTGACTATCCTCTAGCGCCTCTTCTACCGTCCGCTTCTTTGATGTCCTCGTCGGCTTTCGTTGTCAACTCATACGCCATCCGCACTTTCCCATCAGATTGAATCGACTTGAGACGGCATCGCATTTCATCCTATCAGCCACCGCTTCTCCACCTCAACTGCCTAGCTGACTTTGCGGCGTCATCGGTCGAGCCGTTTGTTTCCCCAAAAACTCCAACACCAAGACCAGTAGGAACCGGCTATCGTCCCGGCTCCGGTTGTTGGCGGCAGTCAGCGTTGTACAGTTTCAGGCCGTCTCCCCAAAGAGTCAGAACATGGTGAGCAAGACAACAATGGAGGACGCCATCTCGGGAGCCGGATCGTAGCCTGTGTCATACATGGCTGTGTGTGGCATGTCATTGCAACTTCACATTACCCACCTCCATCTTGGACGCCTAACCCGGAGGGGAGCTCATCAATCACCGCTGCTCTGGTATCGAGCGCATTCCTGCACCACTTCGGAAACACTTCGTACTCCATACACGGTGCCACGGGCTGGTTTTCTTCTCAACGACACGCCAGCCACTATTATACCCTTCACATGCGTCATGCGTGCCATTTCCATACAACGTCCTATGTTGGTTCGCAAATCGCATCACATCAGCTAGAAAACAGCCACCGTCGTTCCTGACTCTTGCGACTCTGCACTAGTCCTGCTCATGTGCCGTTCCGAGCCTTTAATGCGACACAACACCGCTTGCTGGCCTTGCTCTGCGGCTGCTCCTGCCGACAACGACAGGGGAGACAAGAGAGGCGAACAAAAATGGCCGCCGGAGACTTTTCGTCACTTGACGCAGACGTACGGATACGGATACCTGTAATTCCAGTCTCCAGCTTGAAGTCGTTGTCAGAGAGACGGATCTCGAACGCGTCGGTCGATGAGAATCTCCATACCTCTTCCCCCACCGCTACTTTAAGAGACATCAGCATCAGACCATATCTTGTAAACCAAGAACTGTCCCCTCTCTCGTCACTTTTTTGACCGCCGCAGCATCCGTGGAGCATACTGGTACGCCGCGCACTTTGTCTCCTACGACGCCGCGGAGCGGATCTCAGGGACCGAACCTTCGACCTTGCTCCCCACTCGTTCTCATCCGCACAGGTGTCCAAGCTTTTTTATCGCCGCCTCAGTGTACGCAGTATGCAGCATCCAAGTCTGGTCTGGTCTAATTAGTCCAGCGACATATCAGATCTAATTGTCTTGAACCTGCAGTTGGGCGGGCGGGCGGGCGCACTCAAATATGCAGCACATGCAGGCCTCGCATGGCATGGCATCGCGTTGCATCGCATCAGCCATCAACGCTAATAAAGGGACCCAAGCCAATGCCCATGTGGCCTCTCCAACATGAAGCCAGTGAGGCCGCACTCATCTCGCATCGCACGCCCGACTGGCTAGTCGCCGTCATAGATTAGTCCTGAATTACAGGCTCCCACAGGTACCTAGACAGCTCGAGTTGTAATTCCATCATGGCCACTCGAAGCCCTCCTGTCTCCGCCACCTCGCCAACCTCTCCGCCATGATGCTGCACCGTTGCGGAGATCTCAATGCATGCAGCACACCATGGCCTCCGAGGGATCCATCAACCTATCTACTGTGCCTTGCCTTTCCATGCGCGCCTCCTGGACTAGACGGTCTAGTCTACACAGTAGACCGGCCTGCGCCGCTCGTCCCTAGTAAAAACTGGCCTGTCGGGCAAATACTAGCTGGTCATGTGCGGGAATTGGGCCAGGGCTCTTGACACTCAGCCGTCCAAGATGGTGTCGACTTGCTTGCTTTGCTGCAGAAGTTCCGGCAATCAGCTACGGGCGATGTCCTACTTTGGACAGGCCAGTGCAGCCGACATCCCGCTTCAGCTCGTTGCTCCCGAATAACGCAGTCCTATCTACCATTTTGAGCATCAGCGCGCCGCTGCCCTCTCCCACTTTTACAATGCCCCTGGCCGTCGGCAGTCGAACCGATTTCGATTAAGGTGTCTCCGTGCAAGCCCGGCACCTTGGACGTATGGATTGCACCGACCATCTGGTCAGTGTCCTGCTTGGGTTTCTCGCCTTACATCTGTGCTAGAGAAGATTTTGCCTGCCGCCGCACCCAACGACATCCAAGTTTGTACCGACACGTCTCGTTCCCTACGGATATGCATCCCCCGCGTTCGAAAAGAAAACGAAGGCAGTGCCAGCGTGCCGCTTGAAGACGTAACGCTTATGACAGATCAAACGCACGCAATATCTCTGAACCACCTAACGTATGCGCCCCTGGCTCAACGTCGCCAATCTTGCAGGGCACTCAGGAGCGGAAGCGGCCAGGATCAGGGTTGACCACACAGAAGACGGATTCAAGGAGCGGACAAAGCACCCCAATCCGGGGCCGAACAATGGGTCTGTTATCGACGGCCTCTCATCTCTCATCTCGCTGACGCTGGAGCATTAGAGCATTCAGTTCAGCCCCCATCAGAGACTGCATCGTCATCAGCGATCGTCCCCTTACGCCGCAAGCGCTGCTATCAGCTCCTAAACCCAGATTGAACTACTCGCCCGAGCTCTGCGCTCGCCACTGTGTTTCCGTCCGGCCGATCAAGCCAACCGCTTTATGTCTCGGGTGGGGTCTTTGCACAGCTTGTTCAGCTTACCAAGTACGGCCGGCCCGGGATAACGTCCGCCGCCGAACCCCGGCGATATCGCCGTAGTCCTTAGTCCGCTCCGAGTGGTACAAAATCATCATTTCTCACACTCTGCACGGATACTCCGTGGGGATACAGACATCCGTACGGACTCAGCACTCATACCTTGTTTTGCCAGGCTGTCAGACCATCCGTCGACCGACTTGACCTGGACCTCATGCGAGTACCGAGGCTCTAGCTTGATGGGCGCCCCGAAACAGCCTAGTTGGTTGGCAGCACGCAGGTGGCTTGCGTTTGAAAGGCGGTTGGTGCAGTGCAAAGACGATGCCCCTGATCCACCTCTGAGGAGCCTCTCCACATACTTTAACCCTCTTCGCTTGCTTTTTCCTCTTAGACCTAAGCAAGACTCGATCATCTTGGCCAGTTGTCAATCGCGTGGCACTGATGCGGGTTTAACGCCAGAAATGCCATCTTGGACATGACAGTCAGTCTTACCGTCTAACAGAAGGTCCCCGACATATCCACTCATACCCCGCCAAGGTCCAGATCAACATTGAGATTCTCGTGTGGCTTGCGATATGCGCCAATAGCTTCGGTCAGTCAGGGACTTGAGTGCCTCGGACTCCCAGTTCAGCAGGCATATTTTACAGTTGCCTTCATAGCATAGGTGCGCAGTGAGATGTGCCAATAACGAGCCAGTGCTGGCACACTTTTACTCTCTCTCTCTCTCTCTCTCTCTCTCTCTCTCTTCTCGGCGGCAGATACAAACAGTGTCTTGCATCAGAGAGATGAATTCGTCTTCATATTCCGGATACAGCACCCGTCAGACCGTAGACGGGTTCGCTGAGTATTGCCTTACGTCCGCAGTGTCTCACAAACCCTACGAAAGCGATCTGTAATACATTCTGACACTGCGGACCGCACCCTTGCCAATGAGCACAAGCCGCCTCAGCACTAGCCACTTTGAAGTAGTATTGGGGGCATCGTATTCTTTCGAATCGTGGAGAGACGGGGATATTGACTCGTACCTTGCGCTGAGGATCATGAAGAACTGGGGGTGACTTTCGCCTTTTGCTCATTATTTGAGCGGTCCGTTCCTGTGTGCCCGCCCACGACGCCCTCCGAAGCAGGTCGACTGGCTTCCAGATCACGGAAACCCCCATCATGGGATTCTCGCCCTGGGTGATCCCACAGCAGCTGGTCGCACTAGATGACATGTCTGAGACATGAGCTAGGGTCGTTACACCTCATCAAGCGGTGATGAGAAGCTATCCCAGCCATTTGGTTTGTATCCCTCCAAGGAAACAGGAAACGAGTCGTTGACCAAAGTTCTGTCTGGAGAATGCATCAGTCCGTAGGCCACGGCGAGAACTGGGATCGACAGGGTAGCGTCTCGAAAAAGCCCGTCCCTCGTTCCGACGTGCTAATTGATGATCCTCGTGCGGAGGGGCAACGTGGTGTAGCGGGTCAACAAGCTATATCCACCTCGAAGCGAGGACGATCGCGAGGTCTCGAGGTTGCAGTCTCCTCCGACAAGTTAATTACGCACCCTCTCCACAGACCACGGCGACCACTGAGCTTCAGGCGCACCCTGCACGTAAGCTTACTCTCGTCACTACTCAGAACCCAGAAACCCGGAGTTGGCACTCTGTTGGGGGGGTTGGCAAAAACCTGCTGCCTAAGTCGCAGTGTAAATGAGCGCCATGCAACACCGGCCCGATGGCGAGTCAGGATGGAGTGCGATTTCGGGAAACGTTGCACGCGGAATGTCTCGCTCAAGTGCTGGCGCTGGGAGTCGGCCGACCCGTACCAAGATCGAGAAAAAAGGCTTTACGGTTACGGAGCATGAGGTGACGCCCTTTTGAAATTTGGAGGATTCGACGTTGCACGAGGCTTGGCCCGACCGATAGCATCTTTGCGAGGCGGCGGCTCCCAGAGTGCCGGATGCCAACAACGACAAGATGGGCTGGGTTCGGACATTGCTCCTTTGTTCGCGTGGTGGCTGACAGCCCACGTCAACGTTTTCGAGGAGTTGATCAGGAGAACGAAGGCTTCCAGAAACATGTGAAGCCTTTCGGTGCCAATGGCTGAAAGGGAGCAACAGGTAAGAAGACGCGCAAGCGTGCTGCAGAACGGCCAGTGACATTCGTCTCATGTAAGTGGTTCTCGATCCGGCGCATATGGCTGCCTTCATCCACGACGGTGCCTGAGCTCTATCCTGGTACCAGTCTCGCTATGAGGACGGACACATTGATTGCCAGGCGCGAGGATACAGAGCTGATACTAGCGCCCTTTGTACGCAAAGGAGCCGACGCTTTCAAATCGGTCTTTCGGGGCCAAGGCAAGGCTTCCTGTTTGCAGTCCAACGGTTCTGGCAACGTGCTCACGAAGATGGCCCATTTCCTTCGATTCTGGTGCTACCATCCGATGGAGCCTTTGCAGTTGTGGAAAGGACTGGACGTACTCAAGGTGAAGACTATCCTCTCAGAGACTGCGCTCGCCCAGAAGCCGTCCGTGAATTCATATACGTGATTTAGGGAGAAGGCAAACCGTAGGCGATCATGGTTGTCATATGATATGCGTCGCTTTTGACGTCCTGGTGACGTAGCAAAGGAGGGAACAGACGACATTTCTGTCTTATACCGATATGGACTATTCATCAGAGGCAGGCATACGGTCCTGTCATTGAGAAGTCTCTAGCAATGTGAACTAGTGCTCGGCGAAAGATTACATGCTCCTGGTCTGCCATATAAATAGATCCCTATTAAAGGCGGTTTACAGCTTCAGTAAGAGACCGCAGGATTGAACGTGTACGTTCTCTCGGGCCTTATGCACCGCTGTTGTAGTTGCAGTCTTAGTCCAGCGCCAGGCATTTCTCTTTGGTGGGTGTGGCTTATATCGGGCTAAGTGACTTCTTCTCAGTATTCCGTCCTGTCCAGGTGATCATACTTGATGGAATACTTGGATGTTGGAAGTGGCGGGCAAACACGAGAGGCGGCTGAGAGAGTTTCGCTTTAGGATGAAGCCTGCGAAGTTCCTCTTGGGTCTTGCGACTTTGGTAGCTCGAACAGTTGACACTTGATGCGTCACCTCTATGAAAAAGACAATAGCGAAAGGAATGGTCCAGGCTCAAAATCCCTCCTAAGTTGAAGGCGGGACATACTGAGGATTACTTTGCCCTTTTATCCCAACTCTCATATTGATACCAGTGGGCAGAGGCAGCCAGCTCCTGTGTTACTATGATGATGGAGAGCGGAGTAGAATCCGAAGGGATCACGAGCTTTGTCGTGGGCGTCATTTAGATCTCATGGGGTTCAGGTAGGGCTCCTGCCATTTGGTTTTGTATCTGGATAGTTTGCTTCGAACATGACGTGTTGATTTTGCAGAAAGTGCAGGACTATGATGAGAAAGTGATATGATGTCGGCTTTACGATCCCGAACGGCTGTTCTGCCGACGAGGCGGATAGAGGGGATGTTAACTAATTAGCCCCTACGTCTTCTGGTTTAGTAATTGACTTTTCGAAATATGAGTTCATGTTTGACATTTCTGGCCAGAGAGATATACTTTGCCCAGTCGTGTCCAGGAACTGTGAAGTCAAAATCGACGACTCAAAGTCACTGCCAACGCCACCATCGACTCGTTCCACTTGTAAGAGAGCACGACCGACTCGAATCAATCTGATCGACCTGGATCGGGCCGCCGTTTCTGTTCCTATGGTGTATTATAGGTTGAGATGCCATCATTCGGATATAAAGGAGCATCGGGCTGTGATTCCACCCCATTTTCGAATTGTCCTCGGCCTCGGTGTTTCCATCGACATCAGGTCTCGTAATCCATCGAGTCCCGCTCGTGGAAACAACCTGGCATCTACTCTACCTGCCCAACGTTGCCCAAAAATGAATTACCTTTAGATGCTAAATTCGTGGTCAGACCTCTCGGACATACTCCGCCAACCGGCTAGCATTGGTCTCGTTCAGTCTGCTAGTTCAGGGAAGTCTCTGTGTTAAGAACGTCAAAACGTCCACGTAGTTTCTGCTGGCTAACGTGTCTTCATTCCGACTCCAGAGTCAAATGCCAGAATATCTCCTACTTAACCTGAGTGAGCTGTACCTAGTGAGCGGCAACGAACCACAACGTTTGCCTCGATTCAGGGTCCAACCTTGCATCAAGCGCACGTTTTCCCCCTATTGGAGTTCCAGCACGATTCCATTTCTGCACTATGCTCACCTTTTTCTCCTAGCGGATTTTCTTGTTAAGGCTTCTCTCAATTGGATGGGTTTACGGGATGCCAATTGCCATTATTCATGGGCATGCATCAGCGTCGTCGCAATTAGCGGTGGTCCGATGCACGGGACGCACCGGATCGGCGCGCTTCCGGGGCGCGGTTTCGAGTCGGTGGGCTTTCTTGTTTTGGTACACCTGTTTGGCGGGTATGGCGGCAGTAAAGGAAGCGAATAGGGCAGATTCATGGCACTGAAGGGATTTTACGATGGGAGTCTCTGTCGATGTCGAAGGTTGATGGGATTTTTCTCTCTATTTGTTTGATGCGTTGATGCTTCACGTGAGTATAGTTTGGTTATTGCGGTGTCCCACTCGCGGCTTTCAGGTTGCATTATAGCCTTTTCGAAACCTCCTTGATTGGAAGTTTGGTCGTTGCACTTACTCAGCCTATATTCGATTGTTCTATAACAGCGTTGGAAAGGTTGGGCGAGACTTTTTTTACTCGCGAGTACACGCATCGTACTTCCATCCGGCAACCGAGGCCGCGCCCCGAAGGACGCCCGCCCGCTCGCGAAAACAAAAAAGGAGAGAGGTGTGATAGCCGCGCTTCGCAATGGCAGCACTCCTATCAACATCGGCGTTGAGACGCAGGCTGAGGACGGCCATCGACAACGACTCGCCCGGGAGGCGGCTATGGAGTTGGAGCGGGCCGAGTCAGGAGGCGGAAGAAAAGGTTGCCAAGCCGGCGGCTTCGCTACTCCCGTGGGAGGAGTTACGTGAGTCAACTAGGCTACCTTGTGAAAGTTTTCTTGCTTTGAGTTGAAGAGTTAACGCTCAAGTGTGTAGCTGAGTGGCAACAGTGAGTTTGTTTCCTCGTGGTATACTGGACCAAGCAACTGATTGAGTCAAGATGTGGGAGCGATCATATCAAGACCGGATATCGGTGAGTATGTCTGAATAAGGGTGATGTTTTCTTGATGAATTGTTCTAATGGAGAATGAGATAGACCAGCTTGTGGCTCCGTGGCAGGCTGTTTCGCCAGTTGGACCTATGCGCATAATGAGTCGGGTGAGTTGAAGTACAGCATCAGGCTGGTAAAATATTACAATCTGATAGCGAGAACAGTCAACATCTACTCTCACGTGATAGGAGCCATAATCTTCGTTCTGCTGCCATTCTACGTCTTCAGCGATGAAATACCAGCCAGATGGAGCATCGCCTCAACCGCAGACGTAGTCGTCTGTACAGCCTACGCTGTCGGGGTGACAACATGTTTCGTCCTTTCCACGGCGTAAGTTCACTTTCGTTATCAACTTTTCCTAGTTTCGTCCTTTGTCTCCCGACATGTTCAGAAAGGTACAAAGCTGACCACCCTTCAAGCTTCCACACCCTCATGTCCCACAGCGAATCCATGTACCTCTCGGGCATCAAAGCCGACTTCCACGGCGTCCTCGCCTTAATGTGGTCCTCCGTCTTCCCCCTAGCGCACAACGTGTTCCCCTGCTCCCCGGCCACGCGGGACGCCTACGTCGGTCTGACGGGCCTGCTGGCCGCCCTCTGCGCCGCGGCGACGGCGAGGCCGGATCTGGGCGCCGTGGACTTGGGACACCACCGCGCCGCGTTGTTCGCTGCGTTTGGGCTCGCGGCGTTTGTGGCGCCTATCGGGCATGGGGTGGTGCTGGCTGCGGATGGTGGACGAGAGGTGTGGGATAAGGTTGGTGGGTGGTGGGTTTTGGGGACAGCGGGGTGGAATTGTGTTGCTGTTTTGGTGTATTGGGCCAAGGTGAGTTGTCATTGCTCTTGCGTTTACGTGACTTCTGACTTCGTGTTTCTTGCGGGGAGTGTGGTCGTTGAACTTGATGCGTGGGCTACGGGAGACTTTGCTAATTGTTTTTGGGTCAGTTTCCGGAGAGATGGTTCCCGAGGACGTTTGACTTACTTGGGGCCAGTCATCAGTTGATGCATATCTTCGTAGGTTGAGATCTTCTCCTTTGAAGTTGCTCAGGTATAATACCGCTCGAGAGACGTACTGATATTCTTAGGTTTTGGCTGCTGCTCTTTCGTATGCAAAGGCCGTTGTGGTGGCTTTCGACTATAGACATGCGCAGGAGCTCGTGTGCTGAAGGTTGAGTTTCGGGCATACAGACATGCTGGACGGCTTGGAGAGACATACGAGAGGGCGAGCTGTCATCGAAGGGCGCTGTGCTCGTCGAAGAGGAAGAGTCAAAGATATATACCATATATACCATACTGTAGACTGGCATCATACTTTGATGGTCAGATCGATCTATAGAAGAGCTCAGAATAAGACGAAGTCTAAATAGGAATCTATGTATCCAATAGAAATAATGCTTCCAAAGATTTTACATCCAGTGGTACCTCTCAAACAACACCGATTCTCCACGAGCTGGATTACTGTCCACCGACATTGACAACAACCTTCCCGCGTGCCCTCCCACTACCAACAATGTCATACCCGTCCACAGCCTCCTCAAATCCAACCTCTCTCTCCACGACGGCCTTGATCCTCCCATCCGCCAGCATAGCAACAACCTCCTCCATCAAGGCCTTCCCAGGATCCATCATGGCCGTCGCAGCCCACCGCCTCCCCGTGCCGCCCAACCAAGTCGAACGGGGCCACAGCGCATTCATCTGCATCTGCCAGCCCGCCTTGACGAGAGCCCCGACGGACTGGTCAGCCGGCTTGATCCCCACAGCAGAGTACACGCCATCGGGCTTCAGATACTCCGCGCAGTGCACATAAACATCGTGCACACCAACACAATCAACAACAGCATCGAACCTTGTCCCCTCAGCCCCAAACTTCTCCCCCAACACTTTTGAGACGGGCACCGGAAGACTCGCAGTATAATCCACGACCTCGTCAGCGCCGAGCCCCAACACCGTCTCCGCGTTCCGCCCCGAACAGACGCCGACGACGTGGCCCTCCCGCCCGACGATGGCGCGCGCCATCTGCACGGCCAGAGACCCGATGCCGCCGCTGGCGCCGTTGACGAGGACCCTGTCGCCTCGCTTGAGGCTCGTTGCGCGGACGGTCACGGCGGCGGTGCAGCCTGCCGTCATGACGCAGCTCGCGTCGCGGAGGGAGACGTGGGAGGGGACGGGGACGGCGTAGCGTGCGGGCAGGAGGACGTGTTCTGCCAGGGCGCCGGTGCCGGTTGGCCAGGCGTAGGATATGGGGAGGAAGGCTGCGACGCGGTCGCCCTGTGAGAAGAAGCGGGAGGTGCTGCTCTTGACTGCTGCGGTTGTGCTTGGTTCGGCGTTGAGAGCCGACGACGTACCCACATTGGAATCGGACCCGGGAACGGATTCGGGGCTCCACACATCCGTTACGGTCCCGCTCAAGTCCCAATCCGGCACCGCCGTCTTGGCGCGCACGGCGCCGGGTAGCTTGGTGATGTAGAGGTGTCCGCCCGGATTCAGAGCCGCGTGTGCGACTTTTACGAGGAGCCATTGGTTGCCGTCGGCGGCGCCGGGGACGGGTTTGGCTTTTGCGAGGAGTTGGGTTGTTGGTGGGAGGGTTGGGGTTGGTCTGGAGATGAGGGAGAGGACGGAGCGGGGGGTGCCGCGGTTGGTGAATGTCCAGGCGCGTGATGAGGCCATGTTTCTTTCAATCTAGGTAGCTGAGAATGAATTCTTGTCCGGGTGGACGAGAGCTTGATGAGTAGAGATTTTGGTGGTATTTGGTCTTGTCAGGAGTCTAGAGATAATGTGTGTAGAGCAAAGGACTCAGAGAAAGTGATGTTTGGTTTATAAATATCGCACATTCTCCGAATCTCCCTTGTCAAGTTCCAATGAGTTCTTATACGAATGCCATAACTGCACTTGGTCAAGAGTTGTCGTCAGAATCGGCGGAAGTCGGCGCTGCCTAACGGTTAAACATAACGGTCTGACGAGGGCGATCCTGCCACATTATACACTCGTAGCGAAAGGGCCAATCGCAGCCAAGTAAGAACGCCACATTTCGAAATACAAGAATAACGTTTCTTTCTTCCTTTTCTCTCCCCCGCGACCCCGACGAAAAGAGATAACTAAACGGTCGCTTGCGTGTTACCATTTAGTACTCCATCTTGCCTTCCGTACTCGTTAAGTTGAGTTGGACGCCATGACGGAGATCGTTACGATTGCTTAGAGATGATTTCGGCCGTTGGCGAGAGACCCTGCCGCCTATTCGATCAGAGAGTCGAGACTGCTCACGAGGTGTTGCAATCGAACACGAAGGGTTGCATTTTATAGTCGATCTACGGATACCTTGGACTGGCCGACTTTGATTGGCCTGCTAGCTATCGGTAGGTCAAGGGAGATGTTTTGAGAGAAGGCAAAATTCAGAATTAAGCCACAATTTGAATCCTCGGCTTTTGACGCTGCGACTAACTTCTGCACCTCTCATGCTATAATATGCTCCCGGGCTAGGATTGTAGTTTCGGGTATTTTTCTGGGCAGGCTGGAACACCAACAGTGGTCGTCGGAAGAAAGTTGGCCAGGTAGCATCGGTATCAGGACACTGCGTTCAACGTAACACTGGTCCCAGCTGAGATTCAGATTCGAGTGACTACTGTGTAGACGAGATCCAGTGTCACGAGCCCAAGTTCAATGTTGTGGCCATGCATGGCTATACCTTAGGCGGTGGATGGCGATGTTTTGCAATGTAGAGAGATTGCTAGGTGTGGCAAATGAAGCCTGTAGCATTTGAATCAATTTATCGGCACATCTACGGCAAGTCTACCAAGTGATTGGGAATTGGAAAAAAAGGGTCTATCCGAACTGAAAACATGCGACCACAAAAACAATCAAAAAAGACGCGACGTGCAGCTGACACTTCTTCTTTGAGCTGAATGAGTCGCCAGTTTGCCAGGTTCATCGCATTGAACCGCGTGGCACGGGCGACGTCTCACTGGCCTCACTGGCAGTCACGACTCATCACCAGTTGGGAGGAGTGGGACGATTTGTCTCGACACCGTTCGGGTCAATCCCCGCCCTGAATGGGAAAGTCTGGTCTGGTCTGGTGGGCTGTGTGGCACAGCGGCACCGGCACCAAAGGGCGGCGTGGGCGTCCCCGGGCATACCTAGGTACCTAATGGGAAGTGGAGAGGGAAGACACTTTGTGAACTTTTGGGGCGTCGAAAGCGAATTTCCCACCCAATGACAGTCTTGCCGCAGCTTAGTGGCCCCTCCCCTCTCCTGGGGAAAGAAGACCGGCGACTTGAGCTGAGAGTCCAGTCCAGCCGTAGACTGAGGGGTCCCTTGGGTGGCCAAAGGGGGCCAAGACTTTGGGATGCAGAATTCGGGGCCTGGAACCTTGTCGTGCCTGTCACGCTTGTCCACCGGAAAGCCAAAATAACCACCACCACCCAAAAGCCAAGGGCAATTTATCCCTGGTGTGTCTGCCTGCCTACCCAGGTGCCCAGGAACGCATACGGCCGTCGGCAACACACCACCATTCCTTTCTGTCTTTCCCATCCCCTCACGACTCTCGTTTTTTTCTTGTTACCTGGCTGGCTGTTGTTGTTTTCGTCTTTGCTGCTGTTGGAGCATTTGTCTACGCCTTGGCCGCCCGCATCAATCCTACCATCGAGACCATTCACCAGGCATCTCATATCGAAAACCACCGACCTACCTCTTCTTCCCCACGACAACACCACAGCACCATTCCCTCAACATGTCGATGCCAGGCGCCTTCTCTCCCGATCTGTCACCCTACGAACCAGACTCCAAGAAGGACAATGTTTCCGCTGCCGCCGCCGCCAACCCGCCACCTCTCCGTCTAAACCAACCCTCCGACGCCTTCTCCCTCCACACAAACGATCCCTACTACGACGACATCGCCACAGCCTCGTCTTCCAACGCCGGCGACCTGCCTCCGTCCTACACTGACGAGCCCTCGTCGCTCGACCCCAAGCACAACATAACTACCACCGTGACCCCGCTCCTGGCAGACGAGTCCGGCCACTCCCCGCTTCTCTTCCGCAGGGACCCCGAAACCGGTGCCGAAATCCACTGCTCACGCCGCCTCGACACCGACCCGGCCTTTCTCGAGTCCCACATCACATCTCTCGCCCAGTCGCCACCGAGACCCTACCTGCGCGTCCGCGGCACCCACACCGAGAGCATCCGCAAGCGCGACGACAAGACGGAGAGCAAGACCGTCGTCGACTTTGACGTCCGCGTCGAGCTCACCCCCTACCTCTACCGCGACATCGCCACCCGCCGCTCCTGGCGTGAGCTTCGCACCGCAGACAACTTTTCAAAGGTCCGCCGCGGAACCGTCTTCCCCACACGTGCCCCAGGCTTCGGCGGCAGGTCTTCGGGTGCTCGAGGCGGCGCCGCCGGCGAGGAGGTGAGCAAGGAGCCGCCCACGCTGCGGGAGTGGTGCCACCGCTACTGCGCCTCGCACGCGGGCCTCAAGACCTTTTCACTCCTGCGCACCGTGCCGGGGTTCGACGACGACGAGCGCCTCAAGGCCCGTCTCGAGGACCTCGTTCGCGCCACAAACTACCGCGGCCGCATCGACGTCTCCTTCCCCGTCCACGACAGCACGGTCGAGATCTACAACACGTGCCGCGTGAACCGCTGGCGCCAGACCACCTGGATCCGCTGGCTGTTTTACCTGACCTTCCTCTGGATCTTTGCGTGGCCCTACCTCTTCTTCCGCACCAAGCGCTTCGAGGTCGTCGAGGCCGAGTGGGCGTTTTCCAGACGCCGCAGAGATCCCCAGACGGGTGCGGCGCGCGGAAGGGAGTACGTCAGCCTGTCCGAGGTGGACCTGTACAACATGTGGGCGCGGGCCATCTCCAAGGCCGTGCTGGAGAGGAGGCAGGGCGAGCTGGACCAGCGCGACCTGCGAGATGCCGAGGGGAGACAGGACACGAGCTTCGAAGACGTCCTCGCGGGGATCGATCAGGAGACGACGAGAGGGCTCGTGAGGGCTGGTGTTAGTGCTATGAATGTTGTCAATCGGCACTTTGGATGGGGAGAGGATCGTTGATCTTCGGTCTCGCTCGAGCACAGCATGCTTTTTTCATTTCCTCGTTCATTGGCTGTTTTGTTCATTGACTTTTGGTTTCGTTCCCTCGGCTGGGTTACTTTGCTCGTTTTCCTGTCGTTTTCCATTTGCTCAAGGCTGGAAGTGCGGGTGTTTTGCTTTCTTGTTTTTTCCTTTTCCTGCATTGCCTCGTAATGATTCCCAGACTGTGACGCATCATGATTCTTTCTTTGCCCTTTGGGTTCGGGAATACCACTGTTTTGGCATAGGTAGCGAGGGTTCAGAGTACTTACGAAAAGCACAGCATGATATATATATTCATACGTACTACCCAATCAAGATGAATTGCTAGCAAATATGATTTCCAATATTTGTGCATTGGGTGATGTGCAAAGCTCCGTCTGTTGGGAAGAAAAAGAAGCAGAGAATGTTCATGTGTAAGAAGGAAGAGGAGGAGAAGGAGAAGGAGGGAAATATCATGTTGCACCCGAAGCTTCCGTCCCATGTCTCACAAGCGGACTGGACCCCTTCCGCTTCGTGTAAGCACGCTCGAGCATCGTTAGGGTCTAGCTCCGTCCGGAAGGCACGGGCGACCGAGAGTAGTTTTTTTTGGCAAAGGTCACCTACCAATTGGACGAGTATGTACAGACCGTCCGCACAGAGTTAGGTAATCTGGACCCTGCGCCGACGGAACCCCGCCGTTTTGTGGTGCCCCGCCATCCCACCTCACCTCACCTCACCTCAGTCAATCTCATTGCGCCTGAACGTTCGAAAGCTCAAACACTCGCAGAGCTCGCCAAGTTTGTTTACCAACGTCGTGTCGTTCAACGTTCCATCCTCTTCAACAACAAGAACGCCTTGAATACGCAGAAATCAAGATCTACCAACAACATCGAGAAAAGAAGGAAAGGCGACAGAGTTATGGAAGTCAAGAATCCGCGCCGGGTGTTGGCGGTCTCGCTTGCGGACTCGACGCAGCATTTGAGTAGAGTCATTAAAGGTTGGTAAAAACGGCACTCTCTATTTTTCTCCTGTTCGTTTACGTGAGCCTTGGCATCTGGCTATTGCATCCTCAAACAGAAGCTCTTGACCTCATGTATCTCATGCTCATGAGATGAAAGGGGAAAGAAGCCCGCATCACATGAGAAACTACGCAACGGCATCCTCATGATCTCACCGCAACCCGTCACATTGCAAACTTTCCACGCACTCTCACTAGATGCCAACACTTTGTGGAAGTATCGTACTAACGCGGGAAGGGTAGACCTCACGGGCACCCACCCAGAACCGGCATCCACAACCCTCGCGGGCACAACGCACATCCTCCCCATCAAGACGAGCTACTACACCGCCGACGTGCCCATCTGGCTGGACCTCGTCGACTCCCCGGCCGAGTGGTCCGCCTCCTTTCTCTCGCCCGAGGCCAAGGAGGTCCTCACCGTGCTGGGCGGGCTGGCTGTTGTTTTTGCGCTGCCTTCTTCTCCTTCATCATCGTCTTCGACATCAGCCCCGTTACCGGCAGATAGTACCACCCCTGCGCCGGCATCAGTAACAGTACCGGCAACGACCCCCCAGCCCTCGCCAGAGGACACCCGCGCGCTCATCACCGAGGTCGGGAGGGTCGTTCGCGAAGGGCTCGGCGGGTGGGGATGGGACGGCGTCGGGTTGGGTATCGGCGTCGGGGATGGGACGGCGGACGAGTGGGAGGATCTCTGCGCTGAGTGGGGACTCGAGTTTGTGCAGGTTCGTGGGGGTAAGAAGGATGATGGCCGGAACGAGTTTGGAGGTTCGTCACATCCCCTTTCTTGTCTCTTCTTTTCCGTTTCTGCCCTTGGCTCTCTCTCTTGCTTCGGATCATTCAGTCTGCGGTTCATACCCCTGAGCCGTGATTCAACACTTGAGGGCCGTTTTGGGAGGAAGGGGCCATGGGAGAGTAGAGCACCTTTGTCCCGGAACCTACCCCTATCCGGCACAACATAAAAGGTCCGTCCATGCTGACATCCCTTTGCCAGAGAAATTGGGCATAGCAAGAGTCCTCGAAGCCCTCGAATCCAACGACTGGGACGCCGCAGACGACATGGACGGCCCATCAGACCTCGATTCGGACCTCGACACCGCCGCCGGTGATTTACCCAGGAAACCCAGACCTCTAGCAGGCGGCACCAGCAACGACGACGACGGCGACGACAACGACGATTTCGACCTCGACGACCCAGAGAACCTGGATTTCGGCTTCGACAGAGCGGATTTCGAAGGGCTGAAGAAGGCGATTTGGAACCTCGAGCAGGAGCCGGAGGATGAGGATGAAGTAGTAGAAGGGGGAGCAGCGGACACGGCAAAAGCAGCGAGTGGAAGCGCAGGAGGCGCTGCTACCACCGAAAAACCGGACTCGGCGAAGACGACGCAAGAGAAGAAGGCCGAGGACGCAGAAAAAGAGGACCTGAACGCCGAGGACGTGGAAAAGATTGAGCAGATGATGCGTAAGTTGCAGGCTGTCCGGGACCTCAGCGCGGGGCTGCCCGAGGACCAGAGGCGGAGGATGGCGAAGAAGGCTGTTGGGGAGGTGATGAAGGAGCTTTGAAAGGGGGGCTGTAGATAAATGCGCTTCTGGCTCCTCTGATCTGGTCTGGTTTCGGGGGTTGGGCCGTTGATGTTTGGTCAGTCGTGTAATCATGACAGCTGCGCAGACTTCATGTCACTGGAAACAAAACACAAAAGGAAACACCTCTGAGATGGAGGCGGGATTGGAGAAGTGGCTTGTTGGACGGCTCGCTCTGGGAGCGGGTTTTTCTTTCGCGAGCAGTTCAAGAGCATAGCCTGTTCGCCTTCCCTTGGGCGGAAACAGTGATGGGAAAGAAATGAACTGGCTGGAACTTTGAACACCCCAAGTCCCATCTCCCAGAAATCTCGTCGACAGAAAGTTTGTACTTGGGGTGGTCTCGGAACCAAGGTCACGGTTCTTGTGTACTATGCAGACGAGAGAGAGAGAGAGAGAGGAAGAGGGACCCTCGGATTGGAAGTCAAAGGCAGCAGTATCAACCTTCAAACCAGAGCTATCTGCTCCCGCCATTACTTGAGAGAGTGGGAAAGGTGGCGTAACGGCATAGATACCCAGGCATGTCAGGTCTGAATAGCACAGAGAAAAGTTAAAAAAAAAAGGTCGAGAAAAATCGATCTCGTCTTCCATATGAAGCAGGAGTATTCGACTTTGGAGGACTCCTTTCCCCTAGTGATGCCTCACCACCTATAGGCCGTAAGCCCAGCCTCTCATAACCCAGACTGCCTACCTCAAGGTTCTGTAGATAATGCGCTGATGATTCCGATGTTTAGTCAGTCATGATAATCCTTTGGTCCATGCAACTGAGCGAATAGTATACCTGAAGCAGTGTGACAGACGCAGGAGGCCATTCGGCTAGGTACTGACATGCAAAGCAATTGGCGTCAGAGTCGACCACTCACAACGCAGTATGAAGATGTCACAAAGGCAATCGTAGTCCCTCTCATCTTCTTAAATCCCAGATAGGCTTATTGATCCATAGGGCGACACAAATCGGCCCATATATGGATACGGCATCAGCTCTACACAACCCGAGAGGCTCGATATACAGCCAACGATATGTTCCGTCTGCACTCCCCGACTGTCCAAATCCACTCAAATTTCTCCCTGTCGTGGGGCCTTGCAACGTCCATCTTCAACCAACTAGCGAAGAGCCTGTCTGGAGGCATTCGTCGTGGTATTAAGCCGTAGCCCGTGAAGTTGCAAGTGACCATGCTGAAAACATTATGGAGCAACAACGAACGTCAGCCATTACATCCAAAAGGGGCACCACATAGGGGTAAAGTCTCCAGAAACATGGCTTTCTGCCGATCTCCCGTGAGCAGACAAAGTGAAGGCTATCCAGAAGACGTAGATCCTGGGATTTTCTAGCAAAATGCTGCCCCGGCTGTGTATGCTCAAGTTGGCATATTCCATGAATCACCAGGCCTCTCCTATGCCTTCCAGTCTTCGACACGCCGCGTGGCATGCATAGAGTGTTGCTTCTTAGTGCGAAAACGGTCCCATTTCAATATCTTGCGCAAGCTGACCCGTTTTGGGCCAGGGAAAACCGAGGGCGTGGTTAAGCAGACATATAGGTTTGCTTTAGACGGCTTGGAAATATAAAGTGAACCCACTCGAATTGAGCAGTTCGGACGGCGGGCGAACGAAGCAGGGAATCCATTAGTATCATGCGGCAAGGCTAGTTGGTGTACCCAGTCAGTCCATAGTGCCAAAGGTCGCTCGTCACTTGGGTTATGCTTCGGGGACGCTCCGCGCCTGAGTTTACCTATACCGAGTCATGAAAAAGAAGCCCTCGGTAGGTCTTGTCAATCGCCGAGAAGCTGGATCAACCCGGGAGAATAGATTGATCCGAACAATTCGACGGTCAAGTCCCGTCTCGGGGTCAAGCAGGTGTCAGCGGGATGCCGGCCAGGGGACCCGTCTCGGTGAGGGCCGGGGAGAACATCAGACGAACGCTAGCGTCGATCCTCTTGCAAGCCCTTGTGCGATCTCGTACAGATGCACGACGTCGACGTCGCAGACAGACGACGAGCAGGGACAAGTCCGGCACAGCCTCTCCATATGGCCCACAGTTTGGTTCATGCCGACGTGGTTCCCCTCCTCACTCCTGTCCCCTCTAGAGGCCCGAGCACGCAGGTCTTTGTAGCAATAGAATGTTCTGCCGCGCATCGCCAAACAATGCGGCGGAGCAGCGTGAGCGTGCTGGAGACTGGCGTCGCATGACTGGTGGTCTTTTTTCTTTCCTTCACGAATCCTCCCTCCTCTGCCGGCGGGGAAGCTAGGCTCAATCGGAAATTTCTCAGCGATGCCTGTAATGCTTGTCGAGGAAGCGATAACCTGCTAAGTTTCAGCAAACTCGATTGGGAATGCTTGGCCCGGTATCACGGTAGTTTTGGGTACCCTGCTGCGCTGTTGGGGGCTTCGCTAGACGCTGTGTTCGTGATCGTTGGTAACCTGTAGTTGATTGCATGCCAGTATAGAGGGCATTTCGTACAGGTAGGCTGTAGCAAAGTCGATTGAGGAGAATGAATAATCGTCCGAGCTTAGTGGTGCGATGCTGTGGGATCTCGAGTTCTGCCTTACAGTCGCTAGTGTCTATCTGGATCGTTGCACAGTATCTCTCATGTAATGTGAAGTAAACAATCGTAAAATGCGCAGTGGACATGCACCATCTTGCACATGAGGCTTCAAAACATTGCAATTGGAGTAAGCGATGGCAACGCGTCAAGGCGCGTTTCTCGATGTGTTGTCGCAGCGTCGCGATGATCATTCATGCCTCGGCAGAGCCCCAGCTTTGTCAACCTGCCCATTGGTCAACTTTCGCGGAGTGATTATGCTCCGTCAGTGGTGGACATGGAGCTGAATGCAGTTGCAAGCGACACGAAGGCTCTGGGCCTTCGGACGTAGCTACGGAAGCAGAACCAGACTTTTGGGACGGTATCGATGGCAACTGACAGTTTGACAGCCATGAGCGTTTCGCGGTGTGGAAACAAAGGAACGACAAAGACTTTGAAGCACGCCATTGTCAAGCCAAGCAAAATTAGCCAACTATCGACAACACGGGCTTGATAAAGACTGTAGCCTTTTCGGTAGCCGCGGATGGTCGGCTGACGGGATTTCCGGAGCAGCAGATCTGATATATGGACCCTGTATCCGTAAAGCGTCACACGCTCTCGTGTTGCCTGGCTGTCAGTAGCCGATTTCCATGCCACCGTTTGATTCTGTGGGTTGGTGCCCCCGACTTTGCGGCGGAAATGTCAGCGATACATCTCGCCTATTCCTCGCCTTGTCTACCTCTTGCGGCAATCTTGCGTATTATCCATAAAGGGTCCAGCAGCAAGAGCCGGTCTCTCAAGGGCTCCCGGCAAGCGAGGATTAACTCTGCAGGGCTCGAGATAGGGGGAGGGGCAAAGCCAAGGGAGTTGGCCAGGGATTTCGGGCTCGCAATGTTCGACGATTCTTCTGGAACGAATTCGCCAGGCTGTGAGATTGGGGTCCCCGTCCGGCGTCCGGTGATGCTAGCAGCGATGAACCCCAGACGGGCAGATTCTTTGAAGCAATGGGCAGCCCATACCGGCGACCGCGAAATCCGGACACATGCGGCGGCGGGCTGGCAACTCAAGAGGGCGATGGATGAATTCCACAGTCAGAATTGGCCCCGCCGTACTTGCGGACGACCGTCGTCGGCTTCGGTGGCTGAGTCAGTAACAGAAGTGTTTAGATTGTTTGAATCCGAGGCCAACGGCGAGTGGGCATCCAAAACGACGATCTCCCACCAACAACGCACGGAACTATGCGACGGTCGGTCGTCAAGGGTCACGGCTAGACTTCCTGCTCCGTTCTCCCGTATGCGGCGAAAAAAGATAATTATCTGTATTCCGTACAGATATTCCCCCCAGGGTTCTTGGTTGACGTTTCGCGGAGGAAGCACGCTGCACAACGGCCGCGCTCCGACAGGGCTCTTGTCTGACAGTTGTTGTTGAACGGGGCCGGAGGCGGACCGGGGGCTAGGACTGGAGACACGAGCCAGAAGCGGGAAGAGAAAAGATCAGACGAAAAAGGCACGACGTATCCGCAGAATGAGGGCTCATGGGGCCAGAGAGGAGTGGAAGGCAGGGGGAACCTCAACGAAGGTCCTCTCTCAGACTCTCACCCCCCCTTTCTCTTCCTCCAGGCTCTATGTCTGGCGATTCTGCCCTGGTTCCATGAGGGAGTCTTAAGCCCTGAGCCTTGAGATGCTGCGGTAGTGGCTCTCTTTCTAACCCGACAAGGAAATCCATCGACGATCTTTCGCCTGACCGAATTCGGCCAAGTTTCAAGCATAATGTCCAATGAGAGTGATTTGACTTTGACAGATCCCTGTTGTTCTTCTCGAGGCTGGTTGGCTGAGCCGCAGCGTCCCTGAGAAAGTTGTGAGGTACCAACATCAACGCTCAGGGGTAAAAGCGGATCCTGCTGAAGACAACTTGGAGCCCTGACACCGACTAGTTCTCAGGGACAGTCTTCCGCATTCCTTAACACTGTGATGACCTTCTCGCACTTCGCGCACCCCTTCAACAAGACCGATTCTGGAAAACGGAGCCGAACCGTCATGCATCACCGACCCAATGCCGTCCCCTATCCGTTGCTCCACGACTTTGCTTCGGCGCTGACAGCGGACTTGTCTCGTTTGAGCAAAGAAGCCTGTGGACTCTCGAGTGCGGTCTCCCTCGTTTCCATGCAGGATGAAGTCAAACTCTATGCTTCATCGTTCGGAACACTTGAAACGAAGCTACTTGGTTGGTTAGAGAACAACAGCATACCAACAAGACCCTCGTCAACCTTCGGGGGTTTTCTTCTTTGGAGGACCACCTGGCCGGGATGAGGCACGCCAATGCCATGAATGCAAGTGCAAGTGCAAAGGCAAATGCAGACATGGAGGTGTTATTTGACCTTGAACTTTGGACGGGCGGAGGATCCCATTGCTATTTCGGGCTTCCTGATGGTGTATGGTAGATTTGTAGCCGCCTTCACGGAGTCCG